CCCCCGCCATTGTCGTCGTCGTCGTCGTCGTCGTCGTCGTCGCCGTCGTGAGCAACGTTGTGGTGACCGTGGTCGTGGCTGCATTCGCGGATGTCGCCGGCGAGATGGGCGTGGACGACGCTCGATGATGAGAGCCGTCCGAGCTCGCCTGGAGCAGCTGAGCCACCAGAGACCGCACAAATTGAGCGGGCGACAGAGAGGCCTCGCTTCTAGCCTGACAGAAGTGTCGGGCCAGCAGACGACGATTCAGGGACCGCTGATGTCTCGCGGAAGCGCCGCTTGACGGCCACGCCAACTCGGCGCAGAGAGCCGTCTTCCCGCTTCCCGGTCCGCCTACGATCAGAGCACCGCACGTCTTCGATTGCGGCCTCTGCTCCAGGCAGTGCGACAGCTTCGTGAAGGCCCATTCTCGGCAGAAGAAACGCTTCTTCTCGATCACCGGCGCCGCCATTTCGACGTCCCGATATCTCTCTTCTCCTGTTACCTCGGCGCGATGAAACCGCTTCTCGCGATTGAGTTTATCGGGATTCCCTAATGTAAATCGATTGGCGTAAGTAGATCTTTGGCATGGGTTTCACTATATCGGTTTCAATCCGGGTGTTCGGCTCGTCTGGACGTATCTGATCGGATATCTGATCGGATAAGCTGTTCTCTCTCTTCTGTCTCGCTCTCTCCGGAGTACCGCGACTAAATGCAGATCTGGTGTAAATGATGAGATGGGTGGCGGTTCAGATCGGCTTAAGTGCAGCGACAAGATTGACCCGGCTGCGTTGCTCTGTCAACGGAACATTGGTGGGAGCCCCAGGGGGCTCTGAGGCTTCCTCTGACTCCATTCAGGCTTCTCATCGCCTTGTAGCCGCTTTGTAACAATGCGCTTCGCGTCCTTGCATGCTATCTGAAACAAAAGGAAATCTCTTTTCCCTCTTGTTCCTCGAGTATTTTGTGAATGCTTATAAAAAGTAGAGAATGACGGACATAAAATTAATTTCTCGCCACAAAATAACGATCGAGATAAAATCGCCTTCAAACAGAAAGGAATAGAGGAAATCTACGATAAAACACGCAAGGTACTCTCTTTTCGTTAAAGTATATTCAGACACAAATTACGCGGCTGCGGCAAAATACTCGTTTACATCACGATAGACACGGTAATGTAGCAGTAGTTTAAAAAATAAATTCAGAGGACTTTCGTCATCGTATAAATACATAGCACAATAATGATCGTAACCGAGTCGCGAATCGTGAGTCGTATGTCAACGCACAATGTTTTGGCATATCTGTACGCCGTATCGATCACATTACGCGTCGATCTTTTGTGATGGTAACATGTCTATTATACACACAGCTTTGGTGAAATTACAAATCGTTAACGGTAAGTGACACAATTACATCATATAACTTTTCAAATATTTTAATACTTGAGATATAAATTGTCAATGCATGTGTAACAAAATAATGTATAACAAATTTCGAAATGATTAAAAAACATAACCTTATATATCAAGTCCTTCATACATTAATCGAATCAGTATAGGTGCAAAAATTTTTTTCATTTGCAATGTTGTAATAATACAGTTAACAATGTACAATTGTTACAATTGTTAACAACTGTATTGTTACAATATTGCAAATAAATAAAAATTTTTGCATATGTACTGATTCGATTAATGTACGAAGGACTTGATATGTAAGGTGATGTTTAAGGTGATTTTTAATCATTTCAAAATTTGTTACGCATTGGCTGCGTTCGGGGAGCGCGCTATCAACGCTAATTTGTATCATATTATCCTTGTTTCACGTTTAATGGAGGATGAAGATAGAATGACACAAATAGTGCTAATGGCGAACCCACCCAGCATTTCGTTGCACATGCATTGACAATTTATACCTAAAGTATTGAAATATTTGAAAAGTTGTATGATGTAATTATGTCACTTACCGTTAACGATTTGTAATTTCATCAAAGGTGACCACTGATGTAGACACGTTACCATCACAAGAGATCGACGCGTAATGTGATCGATACGGTATACAGATACGCCAAAACATTGTGCGTTGACATACGACTACGACTCGTGATTCGCGACTTGGTTAAGACCATTATTGTGCTGAGGTCCTAATTTGGATATATCATGCGCGACATATCTCGAGCAGACTTAAAAGATTTTTCGGTCCTTCTCCGATCCTCGTCGCAATTAAGCGGTCCAACTAACCGTCTAATTGATTCGCTCAGTGTTAATCTTTAGACTAGGCGCGTCTTCTGGAGGCTCTGGATAGCCCTCCTTCCGAGACTTTAATCATTACCGTCCCAACTTGGCGCGATTTTGCCCGGAGGTAAAACGATATTAACTTAAGATAGTCTTCCGTTTAACAAGATAGATTAGCGCGCTGTCCATTAATGCGATAATTAATAATCCTAACACGACGGAAAGTTCGACGACCTCGCCCATCGCGTTCCGCCGGATGCGTTTATATCGCACTGAGGGATAAATAACCATATCACGGCGAGCGGTGCGGGTCTCTCGCAATCTTTCCGTGTTTAACGATTTTTATTGGTAGGAGTTCGCCGAGGATTTTTACTTTTTACTTGGAAACCAACTTCCTTCGACTTCCTCGCAACTAGTCCACATTCAAATGGCTTTGACTTTATATAAACTGACGTTTGTTAAGTTTTGTGTAATCTGGGCATGTGTCTTACGTTCATGACTTTTATTATTTAATTTTAAGACGCCAAGTTAATGTAATTAAAATTTCACTACATCGTAAATTTCGACTGTGAATACTGCACAGATGAAGGTTAATCACAATTTGCGTCTTCGATAAAAATCTCGCTAAAGATAACCCTAATTGAGGCCGAAACGTCCGATGATTTTAGAATGTAATAGCTTTTATATATATAATAGATAAAAAAAAATGTTTACGCTCAAATAACGTTGTTACTCTCATTTGCCAAACTATTCCTAAATTCTAACAAAATTTGAACAATTCAGTTGCCTTGCTGACACTCGTTTCTGCTAACAGATGTACGTTCTGCAAGAAAGCGCACCCTTTTTCTCTGTCTCTCTCTCCCTCTTTTTCTTTCGTTCTAATAAATTATAAATATACGTTCCCGCGGCATATCACGAATCGATTCGATTACATGTCCGGGGCCGTTAGCGTATAATTGTGTTACGCGGAACGAAATTGCCACATGACCATTTTTGACCATCGCTATCATCGATCCCTCTCTTTCTCTCTCCCATTTTTTGTCTCTCCTTCTCTCTAGCAACGTGGGAAAATGTGTTGCGCGAGAAAACGCAAAAACGGTTTTCGCCGAAAGCCACAAATCCGACTGTCACGTCGGCCGATACACGGTCATATATACATATATATGTGCATACGTGGATGTAACGAAAGATCGCTCGGCACGTCGACCCGCGAACGCAGGGACGAAGGACCGCAAATCTAACTCGTACCCGGAAACTGGCGCGATAAATTTCGCGTTTATCCGCCCGGCCGCTGAGAGAGGCAATCGCGGGTGCAGCAGCCCGATATTTCCCTCTATTTTCTTAATTGGACAACTGCTTACGATCTTTCCGTAGCCAAGACTCAAATTAAAATTCTATTAAAAGTAAAATCCGCTTGAAATTAATAGAGATAAACGGCTTCTCTCTGACTCGTCCGCCTGAAACGTGAGACCGAATTTCAGCGAATGTTCGTAGCATTGAGAAAGGAGTCGCGACGGTGTCTGGGATATTTTTTTTTTTTTTTAAAGAATCATTGCTCGCTTTTACAATACTGTTACTTGGATTCAATGTATTTTCTGTCTTGATTTATTCCATATACGTAATAAGAATAGACTGCGTATTCTTATGAAGTTGTCATTATCGGACTAGAAAGAGCGAGGTAGCTCGAAACACATCGCTCTTTGTCTATCTCCCTCTCTCTTTCTGCTCTATTATATTCTACTATATTATATTTAATTTTATTTAATTTTATTTCTTATTTAATTTAATTTAATTCAATTCAATTTTTTCATCTCCGTGTAATACTTTCTTCAAATTTCTATATATGCTAGTATTCTACTTACCTGTAAATTTCCTTATCCTGTGATTATTAATTTCCATATTTTACGTCTCTTCAAATTTTTGCGCCAATTTTTTGATAATTTTCTTATTTTGCATTTTTTACCCTTGAACGTTATTGTTTACTTTTTCTGTAAGTTCTTAGAATGCTTGTTCTAGAACAGTAATAAACACTTTATCTATGTATCTATCTCTTTCTCCCTCTTTTTTTCTAAAGTATCAAGTTGAAGAGAGAGAGATGCTAATATATTCAATTCTTTCTAACCAAACACAAATGCTAAAAACAGGAAATGTGCAATCCTATTACATCTATAATTGTATATTATTTCGTGATATAAGAATGCCAGATATATTATAATATTGTGTACAATAGTTGAATACATAATATAATTTGGAGAAAATTTCTAATCGATGGCAAATTTTTAATAGGGTATATTTGTATATTGGCTTATAAAATTTGAGGTCAATTTCTGATTGGTTATAAATGTTCGAACTACTAAAATTCTTTGAACTACTGCGCATCCACGGGAATGTTATAGTTATAGTATTCTTACATCATGATTTATTCGTCTGCGTTGAGACGGAGACCAAACTTGCTTGTTCGGGCGCAAAGTTGATAACTGTGTCGCGCTTCGCGGTTCATTCATTTCAGCGACATTTGCCGTAGGACTTGTAAGCAGCCACGGGACTTGGAAACTCGCGGTAAGGTAAATGCACGTTTGCATACACACACGTACACACACGTACGAAACTGACGTTTCGTAAACGCCTCGGTAAATGCCACAAGGCTCGACCTATATTCCGACAATGGCCGCCGACCCGTTTATTATTAGATGCGGAGGCACACAACGCCATAAAGATGACACCATCAATGTGCGCGCGTTGCATTGTCGCCTCGATGCAACCAGAACCAACGTTGACAACCCCCTCGGTTGTCCCTCTCCCCTAACCGGCGATCGTTATGGCCGAATGATACGCCGTAACCGTGGACGAGAAACGAGACGAAGCGAGAACCTGTTTCACACGAGAAAATCCCCACCATGCTCAGTTAATTAAACTCCTTGAGGAAGCGCGCATCGAAATTGAAACCATTTATTTTCTACTGGACTGTATTTAATGGAGGTAATTAATATTTTAATCGCGACACTGATGACAAATTACGGATCGTATCCGGAAATATGTGAGAGAAATATTCACGCCTTTGGTAATAGTTTCACGTAGAGCAATTACTTTAGATACGCAATATATTTTCGTACAATTGAATATACATAGACCGTGTTCAATAAAAAATAAAAATTGATCGTGTCTAATAAATAAATATTGACCATGTCTAATAAAAAAATTAATTGATTGCTGCAATAAAACGCGAATTTGTATGAAAAATTGTTCTTGACGGAAGAGCCTGCACACTAATAATAATGATAATTGAGAAACAAAGCGTCGCCTACTTTCATTTTTTTTTCTTATAGAAATATCATTTAGGACATATTTCGTTTGGTTTAAAAGAAATAAAACGATGCAAGACAATTTGAATAATTTCATTTGACAAACTGGTTATCGCAATAAAACACCATTTTATGAGAAAAACTGTTTTTGACAGAAGTTTATATATTAACCAAGAAATGGAAAAACCCTGTCTATTATCATTTTTTTTATGAGAACATCTGTTACGTATTTTGTTTAATTCAGAAAAATTGAAATGCAAAACAATTTAAATAATTTTGTTATATAATAAATAAAACACGATTCTATGGAACTGTTCTTGACGGCAGTCCACGTATTAATAACTGAGGAATGTTGCCTACTTTTATTTTTTCCATAGGAATGTCTA